TCGACCGAACCACGTTCTATAAAATAATTCGGGTGTAACTGCAATTCAATAATTCTCAGAGACTGCCGAATATTGGACCTTGATCGATCAAATAATTTCGTTCCATTCGTCGTCTACGATTCGATTGCAATTTTGCTCATCTCCGACTGGTAGATATCAACGAGTAGTAATAATTTTAAGCCCTGTCGACCACTGGCGAAACAAAGAATCTTCTCGCGACTCGTCGGCCACGTTCTTGCGTGGACTTGGACCAACTCCGTGCGAATACTCGAGCAAACCTGTTTTAATGTCTTTTCGAGTTTTCAGCGAGGCATGCGCCGAGTCGGACAGTGTCGGTGATTTTTCAACCGACGTAGAACGCAAACACGAAATCAGCGGTGCTTGATTACGACGTAGGAGAGACGAAATAGTTTGATCGCCGTTGACGAGCGTTTGCGAAAGGAATGGTTGCGGAGAGGAGCGATCGTAAGAAAACGCGGCCGGGGCCGTCACGAATAAGGGGCGAGACATCCATAAACTTACTTTGGACCTCGGGGGCTCACGGGGGTTCTGGGTAGGTTTTTCTTTTTACCGGGCCAGGCAGGTGCGAACCGATTTCTATAGTCTTCGCTCGGTAACGGCCGTCCTTCGTGCCAACCGTCCACGAAGGAGGAGCTTCTGCCGAACGAATCTTCTCGTTGGATCCAATTAGAAGGAAACCTTCCAGACTTTCGACCGCGCGACCGTCAACGATACAAAAACAAGTATAACAACGACAAGAAAATGAAGCGTTACAACAACGGTAAGAAAAAAGAAACTATGCTTGATCCGAGTGTGAGCGAATCCAGCAGGGAATGAGAACCTCGATTTTCGAGGCGTCTCTATTGTTTTCGAAATGCGTTTCATCGAGATGGCGTTTTGCACGGGACTTCCTGCGCGGTAGGTTTCGATGCTTGCGATCTCTAAGGGACGAGAACCATTTGTTCGCGGAGTAGTAGGCGATTTTCCCCGAGATTCGAACGCCTTTGAAATCGGGCCGAGCACGTCGCGATGCGATCGACGCCAGAGAAGCCCGCTTGAAATAATAAAAAGTCAGGTGTTCGCGATGAAAACGGGAGAAACGTCGAGAAGCAAGGACGACGCACATCCGGCGGAAGTCGAAGGGCGTCGGCTCGTGACGCCGACGCGCTGCGCGCAGGGTTGAATTAGCTTTGTACCTGAGCAGGCCTAGCCGAGGTATCAGAACAGGGGTATAACAGTACCGATCCTTTCGAAGGATTCTTCATCGAAGCGAACAATAAAAATCGTCCTTGACCGACCACCGTCGCCGATTAGGCTCTCAAAGCAACGGCGGAAATTCCCTTCTGGAAATCCTCTTAAGCGGGCTTAACGATTGTTCGTAAAGTCATGGAAATTATTAATCCGTTCCCGTTCCGTCGCCCGAGCAAATTAATACCGACAATCTCTGTCCGCTGACCGGGATCGAGGTTTTCCAGAGTAGGCCTCGATCGATGATCTCGTCCATGGCGAAACGAGCATGCACGATGAAACGAAGAAGCACGTATTCTCACGACTGAATTTCTCGCGTGAGTCACAAAACCGATGTCGACGACGACCTTCGAGGACCTGGTGCTCAGGGCAAGCCGATACGCATGCGAAATTTCATTCACGTAAGCGTCACGTACGGCTCGACGTTGCAATAACATTCCGAGAACAAGTTGGGGTCCGAAAGCTTGCCGACTCTTTGTTACCCGACGTAGCCGAAAAAGAACGACTTCCCCCGAAAAAGAAGCGTCTCGCTAATTCCTTTCGTTTAGCTCTTTACCTGTCCCCGAAGGAATCAAAAGCAGACGAGAGCCGTGCCGTGGGTGCAGAGTTAGCCAGACGTTTATTCGATCCTGCAAAAACTCTGTAACATTTTCTAAATTGAAATCGAAAGAATTTCTGGCGGTAGAACGGACAGCGAGTGACGGGATGAGGCACCTTGGCAACGAGTATTCAATTATTCGCGGAAATCGTGGTGCATCGACCGTTCGGAGATCGCTCTTTCGTCCTGGTCTTTATCCGCGTTGAAATTATGCCAGTACATTATCCGGCCGCGCGCATACCTTCCGTCACGGCGCTGCCTTTCCCACAAACTGAAAATGGATGACACGTCTAGACGCGGAACTTCCCAGGGCTCACTTTCAGACAGCGGAACCGTTTCTACGTCGTTCAAGGAGGCGTATCTTTTAGGGTGCATTAATGTTCTCGAACGCAACGGGCGTCGTACCGAAAAAACCGAACGCTTTCCATTCCGATTGCGAAGCAACGTCTCGCGGGGGTCTCGGGGCTAATTACTTTTTCGCTGTGCCCTCGATGGAGCTTTCTCCGAGCGAAACTGATTCCGTTCTCGTCAGAGATGGGCTGAATCTTATTCGAATACTAACGATAGTTGCAACATTCGAATTTTATATTTTCCGCGAGCTGATCTTTCTACCGTACGTTGTTATATTACACACCCTCTTTATTATCAAGAAAACCGTCTTGCCCATCTTATCGAGAGGCGTCTCGAACGGTCGATGATTTGGCGCCTAACGAGTGGTTCAATCGCGAGCCTAAAAATACGTTTTACATTCCACGCCACGTATCGCCAATTAGCGAGCAAGGCATGCGGATGGCGAGTAGTTGCGTGTCGCAATTTTTCCGCGGTAAGAACGGACGCGTCCGGGTCAAAGTATCGCTCGTCGAGTCGCGATCGCATTCCGTAACGCGTTACGAGAGACTCCTTCGACCAGGAACGAGTTCAACAGAAGAAACACGAAATATGTATATGTATCGTGTCGTATGGTAAGTAAGTTTTTCCGTGGATTGTACGATGCAATCCGTACGTCTTTTCGTTGGGTGATTATTGGCAGCGTAAACAGAGACTTTGCTCCATCGTCGTACCGATCACCTGAGAAATCCATCGTTTCCGCAATTGATTGTTGTTAGCAGCGCACAACTTCGATTTTACAAACAATGTCATTGAATAATTAGAATACTAACGACGCTAATGCAACGGTTTGTTTACTTCGATTAGAATACGTGAAATCCTATAAAACAGTGGTTCTCAAACCTTCCCGTAGACCCTCTCGATGAAGAAAATACGTCGTACACAAAACTTGTTTACAGCAATAGGAGAATCGAATCTAAAAAAAAAAAAAAAAACGAAATTATTTCAATTTCCAAATTGCTATGCCCCCTCGAGCGCGTAGAACGGGTTACGAAATTCGTGGAGCAAACCGAAGCAAAGGCGGGTATCGCCGAGGCACGCACGAGATTCCCACGCAAGGTGTACCGGATCTTCCCCACGAATTCTCGTATTCCGTTGCTAATAGATTCGAGAAGGGTCGACGAACACTTTCGAGCAGGGGGACCCTTGGCGTTTCCACGAGGAAAAGTACCGAGACCGAAGGAAATCACCGGGTTCCCTGCACGGATCGGTAAGTGCGGCCACGATGGGGCTCGCGATAACCGTGGATGTCAAGGCGGTTGCGAACAGGATTCGTCCTGTCCGTACGTAAACTACGCCCCGAGAAGCCCTGGAGGGATATTCGAGAAGGGCCGTAGCCTGGCCGTGCGAGAAATGTTTGCGGCTCGTCGTCGGGCGTTCGTCGTCGACGACGTCGAGGATTTTCTTCGAAAAACGAGAGGACGGAGCGGCTACGTTGGTACGTACGAGGCCGAGCCTTCACCTCGATCGGCGGTGTACACACGTACAGGATACGCGCGCACGGCCAGTAACGACTCGACGGAGAGAGAAGGAACGAGACACGTGGAGAATCGTGCAAAACGCAGGAGAGAGTACAAGAGGAAGACGAGAAACGGTTGAAGGAGTGGGAAGGTGCAACGACGGTCGAGGCGAAAGGGGAAGGCGCGAGAGATCGGTAGAGGGGTCATTGGTTGTTCGTTGCGCACTCAACGTATGGGAATCGTTATGGACCGACTATAGTCGTTGGAATGCGTTCTTTTTTCCTTTTTGTGTCTCCCCATATACCTGGCGGGCTGGTCTCTGGTCCGTTGTGGCGGTGGCGGCTCTCGCGGACAATCTTGTCGACCGGCGACCGGCTAGAAGGAAAAGGCCAGCGGATTCGCGTCGCCTTCGACCACGCCACGCTTCCACGAAGGATGGACTCGATGTGGATATCGAGCGCACACGCTCCAGGAGTCGAGGATCAACGGATACGGGACAGACGGACGGGATCTATCACCGCGGGATAGCGGGTGGCGAACACCGAACGCGTACACGTCGCCACGGAAGCGCGAAACATGGATCGTGGATCGGACGTGAAAATCGACGACGTTGCTGAAAGAGGAAGAAGAGGCTTCGGTTCCTCCGCGAAACCCGAAGAAAGTGGAAGACGTCGACGAGGATCGGAGTCGGGAAAATCGAGGATGGTCGAGGACAAAGAATCGAAAAAAGAGGCGGTGCGAGTCAACGATTACCCTGTAGAAAAGGAGGAACAAGAAGATCACGAGACACCGACGAAGGAAGGATCGCGAATAGGAAGGCGAGGGAGAGAGGCGACGCGATAAAGAACGAATCGGCCAGGTAGAGGGACAGGGATGCCGCGGTAATGCTCGAAGAGAGCCGGCCGAACAAGAAGACCGACCAAAGATGGGGATGGAGAGAGGAGAGGAGCGGAGAGGAGAGGAGAGGAGAGGAGAGGACGATACAGAAGACGTAGGTAGGACAGGTAAATACATAGTCGACTCGTGGAAAGAAGAGCGAGAGAAACGTCGGGGGCAGAGGGGAACGAAGAGGAGAGACTCGTTCTTCTCGTATGTATGCCGACGCCGACGGTTCGGTTCGGTGACGTCAGGACGTCGATTTGAACGGGCCAATGGGCTTTCGAAGCGAGCTCGAAGACGCCGAGAGGAGTTGGAGGGGTCCGCGGCGCCCCGAGGGGGGCTGTGGGCTAGGGGATCCGGGGGGCCCGGGGACGAGGCAGACTCGAAAGGTGCGTGCGGCCCAGGACGTGGGGCGCGGGGCCAGTTGATCAGTGAGTGCGGTAGTGATCTCATCTCGTACCGCGCCAGGTGTGACTCTTCTATCTTTCCTCCTCTTTCGGTCCCCGAGTCTATGTGCCCTTGGGAAGACGGAGGAAGAAGCAGTACCGGACTTAAAATTCACGAATCGACTTCGATCGTCCTCTGCTTCGAGCAACGACAGGTATGACTTTTCTTTTACACGCTGAAATAACGTTGCAAAATGTATCCTCGACGAGACGCGGTCAAAGTTGAAATTGAGCTCGATCGTGTCTCCTACAACTCCAAAATTTCTATCTCTCGAGTCGATCGTTTCTCTGCCCGAACAATGCGAGAGATCGAATAGGATTCAATTAGTTTACGGTCGAACAGATACGATACCTTATAAAACGCGTTGCGCTTTGTATAATTAAATACATATATTTATCGTGCACCCTTCAATTATATTTCGCATAGAGGACATAGGTCCGTCAATAGTAACGATACGTGATTCTCGGCCGACGTGTACAAGGTCGAGGCGAACCGTGCCGCATTCGCAAAGTCGACGCTTCGCATTCTTCTCTAATCTCCCGAGTTATCCGTTGCTCCGTTATCGTTGCTCTCTTGAAAGGACGCGGGCTTTTCCGTTCGTCTAGATCGCGTCTTTCGAGGGCCGAGAAATATTCGCGGTTCTGCATTTACAGACGCTACGTGTCCGTTTCTCGGTGTCTTGGCTCTTCGCGCTTCTCTGAGCGTCTGCTCGTTGCCGATTCGCACCGTTTCGCGTGCGAATTTCCGCGGCCCTCTTAGCAACAGGTTGCCACCCGTCCGCCGTGGAAAAACAAGAGTCGCCCGAACGCTTTTGTTCTCTGTGCTCTCTCCTGCGCTCGAATTCGCAACGGTTTCGGGTCTAGTTCGTTACGATTCGAATACTTACTCCTCTCCGTAACCAAAATATTTTCCTAACGACATCAAGTTTGAATCGGTTAACCGATTCGTAAATTCGCGTCGCTCAGGCGAGACGCGACATCCTTATCGACGCGACACTAATTCGAAGTTGTTCTCACCTTCAAACTGGCGTTAGCGCGATACCGTAACAGCCAGCCGTAACGCGTAATTAATAACGCGCGACTCGTCCACTCATTAATTCATCCGTGCCACGAGTAAGTCTTTTTTTCTAGGATTCGAAACCGCTATAAAAGGAAACGTGTAAACGAGTTTCGAGGATGGTTCGTGTGCTCGAATCGATTCCTACTAACGCGAATCGCGAGTTCCTCTCCGCGAACCTATTTCAATCGTTTCTTTAATTCTCTAGGAAGCAGCCAGATTTTGTAAACGTTGAATTTCTCGTTAAAACTCGTTGGAAAGTATCGCGAAGCATTCGTCTCGTTTAATTCTTTTTTTCTTTTTTGCTAGACACTCCGCAAGAAAACGTCTTTCCTGCGTCTCACCTTCGACGAGAACGACGGCGTTATAGCATTGCGGAAGCCTGTATCGCGAACGATCTTCAACGTGCCGGCGAATGCATTCGAGATTTGCACGGTAGAGCGAGCGACCGAGAAATAAAACGTAGATATGCATATTACGTGCGTTTGACCGTCCCGCGTGCATAGTACCGATCCGTGAATCCTCGTTGTCGGTGACACCGATTAACCAGCTCGATTCGGTTGGCGCGAATTCATTTCTAAATGGAACCGTTGTGTCGGACAAGCAGCGCGAGGCTCGCGCATCATCCTCGCGGTAACGAACCGTTTCGTCCTTGTACAAATATTTGCGTGAAAAAAAATTGTTTTGCGTTTCGCTCGATCGTCCTCTAAATTCAACGGATTTCTTGTACGTACGTTTCCTCGGCGCTTATCGTGTGCAGACCGATTAGTAACCGCGTTTAACCATTCAAATTCATGCGGAAATAAAGTTTTTTTCCACAAGACTCGCGCCGATTCGCTCGATGAATCATTCTGTACGATCTATGGAAATACACACGGAATGCCTATGATTTCCTTAATCGCGATCTAGATACTTTGCGCAGCGATACTTTGATCGATGCGAGGGTTATCATCCGATCGACGCTCGCTGCGACGGATGCCAGAAAAATAGTCCAAGTCGAAAAACGGAGGAAGAAAATGATGGAAAGACTTTCGGTACTAGTTTACTTCGACATTTACTAAAGAGATATCGATTCAAGTTTGCTCGCGTATGCTTAAAACGATCGTAGAAGGAATAACAGGTTCTCGAACATAGCGAAAATTAATTATTCGTAGCGTTCCATCGATGTAACGTCTATAATAAATTTGTTGGATTTTTCAGGGGCAGAAAGGAAGATTACAGGGTCGATCGCAAGGCCGCGCGAATGCAAGTCTATGTTTCGCGCCACGGATTCCCGTTTCGGAATGGCAAGGAAATTAAATCGAGCTCGATAAGTACACTAGAAGTGATGATGCCTACGAGAAACGAAGCGATATTACCTCCGACTATCTCGAGTACTCGCGCAGCTGTGTTTGCGTAAACGATTGGATACCGCGTTCGAAGCCGGCCTCGTTAAAGAAACGAATTTACGAATTTACGCGCGCCTAACTCTCGCAGCTGAGTTGCCAAAGTCGACCGTTCGACAAACGATTTTCCACTCGAAGGGTAAGTTCGCGATTTGTCGGTTTCGCGGCGGTGTCGTTGCGCAACGGGCTTGAGAACGCCGCGAAGTTCTTGATAAAATGTACGGTCAATAAGGCGTATCGTGCAAAGACCCTGGCAATGGCTCGCTCGGTGACGGGACTGTTAATTAAATCGTAAACTGTTAATTAGTTCGTTACACTGACCAGCTTCTCGGGATCTCGACACCGGTAGCCGCTCGAGGAACGATCGTCGATTTTCCACGTGGCATCGTTAGGGCAATGAATGCGCAAATTATTCATTTCGAAGCTTCTAACGCGTTATATGTCTAATAAAAATTATAATCCGAACGCGTAGAATAAATGATTACGCTACCGAAAATTTCATCGCTCGTATCGAATAAAGTATATCGGGGAATCGAATTTGTATTCGGCGAGGAACGGATAAATATGTTGTTTATTTTTTATTAGTTGTTCGAGGCTTTCGTTCAGATAAGAACTCTTTACCAGTCTCCGTGCAAGTCCGCGTGTTAGTCTAAACGTGATACTTGAAGGAATGTCGAGTGTACAGAGATAAACGGGCCTCTTTGGAGTACCGCGCTATCTATTATCTACACTTATTCGAGTAACATTTTCCAATCTCTGGTTTGGACGAATTCGCGCACGACGTGTCGATCCCGGATCGTTACTTGTTGCTCCACGGCAACGACATTCGCGAAAATCTCGGCGCCGTTTGTTCTCCGTGCGTGGGAAGGTGCGACAATCGGTTGGTTCGGTTGCAGCAGTCGTGGAACGGACGAATGGAGCGAATCGAAGGCCGGCTTATCGTGAAAGATAGGTACTCGGCCGTATTTGCTGTACGCTGTAGGTACGTGACGACGGATTTCGCGGCACGGATAAGGCATATTTCCCCGAGCCGTCGGCGACACCCTGTACCAGCCTCTCCATGTGCGCAACGGACGAAAAAATAAAGAAAATTGAGTTTTAGAAAGTCTCCAACGATTATCATCGAATCAAAGCCTTCGAAGCTTTCTGGCTGGTCTTCCTGCAACGCCCGACGCGATAGCGAGCCAGAAATAAACCGATAGTATCGTAGGTGAGTGTGCCATCGTATTTTTTCCTTTTTACTTTCCCAGCTGTTGCTATCGGACAAAACTTGAGCCTTCTGGATTCTCACGCTTCTAGAGAATGCGAGGTCCATATATGAACGAAAATCGATTACGAAATTTTGTGAGCGTAGCGTCTCGTTTACTTGAATATGATGAAATTTGATACGAATAACCTGTAATAAATTTTCTAATCAAATTTTCTTTCTCGATTGCTACAGATTCGAGTTCGTTTAACATCGAAGAGATTATCGACGTGTTCGCACGCATAATTTCAGTTGCGGGTTCTCCGACTTCTTATTGTTCTTTGTTTTATTCCTTCGAAGAAAACTGGAAACGATGAGAAAAAGCAAAATAACGCAGCTTGGAAGAATAATTTCACTTCCCAGGTATCCGTTGCTTTTATGGTTATTTTATCTTTTCCATCCCTCGTCTTACAATATTATCTTAATCTTCATCGTATTATTGTTCCGTATTAATTCCCATTTATTATGTTCGACAGGCGAGAGGTTGCAATTGTTAATACTTCGTTACGGAATCACGATTTAACCTCTAGCAAATACATTCTTGCCAGCCACTAATTATTACATTAGATTACTTATAGACGAACTTGTACCGACGAAGACCTAAAGAAACAAGGTCGAAACGTAGAAAGAACACCTTCTGGGGCTACCGTTACTTGTTTCGTTTTTTTTTTTCTTTTTTACCGTAATAGCGCATTTTGTTAATCGAAGGCGTGAAAATTCGATACATTCCGAACTCTGATACCCGCGAAAGTTGCGCGGCAACACAGTTTCTTTTTCTCTTTCGCGTTCACTCTCCTTTTTAATGGGATCTTTTGTACTTTCACTGTTACGACGAAACGCGTACCACGTATCTCGGAAACACCGGTGTGTACAGAGGTCGAACGCGATACGACGCGGATCGTTTCTCGCGAACACGTGTACCCCTGGATGCCCCATCGTGGTTTAAATACTGGCTCGTTTAAAGGCGAGCTTTTTCGTCTTCGGATCGTCCATGTGGAACGTAGCATAGATCGTGGCGCAATCTTCTAAATTATCTATTACAAAATTCGATAACGTTCCCGAATTCGGCGCGTTTCGATAGCTATCGGTCCAGAAAGTTCGTGCCCATTTTTAAGAAAAATTCGAAGCACATTTGAATTTTTATATATGTATTTATTGAATTATGTAAGTAGCTATTTGTTCCGTACCATTTTGTTCCACCTTTCCATCTTTCAAGGGATGTACGTACGTTATCTGTTTTCAACGATTCCGATATATTCAGACCTGCAGCACCTACCAAAAATCGGCATGGACTTTCCAGACAAACCGATACGAGTACGAAATTGTTGTCAAAGGCATCCGGTTTACGAGGCCCGACGATTTCTCGAAAGATCCTGCTCACGGTCACGCGTGGATTTCTATCGCGATCGAAAAGTTGCTCGACGACGGAGAGGGAGCGGGTCCAAGGGGAAGATAATAGTTTGATAATAACATCGAATCCAGACACGAGCGTAATGTAGCGAGATCATAACTTTCTCCGAATGGAAGCTCTTACGAAACGCCGTGTACCGGTCTGCTGCCAACTCGACCGAACGAAACGTTGCAGCGTTTGGTATTGCGCTACAATAGAGCACCGCGGATAACGTCACGGACGATAATTGATGATAAAGTCGGCGTTGAAATCGATTTTCCTAGGATCGAACCGGTATCGCAATCGGGACGCGAGCCTTTTCGCGCTATTGATCGCGCCGCGCCGATCGGAGAGAGACGATGCATAACGAATAATACCACAGTGTAGTTTATTCGCGAGTTACCATTGCTTGTATTCGAATAAAATTCTGCCCGTTTCAGGTGTACGATCGACGGCCAAGAGTGTTAGTTGCAATTTATCCGCGACGCTCCAAAGAAACCTCCGTTTATCTTTGTACGCGCGGCATTCGTCGAAGCACAGCTGTTGAAACTAAACACATGGACTTTGCCAGGGACGCGCAGAATTCTATTCGAGTAATGAACGACAAATAATACCAATATATATAGTTAAAATTCCAACTCTTATTCTACGTTATAAACGAATAAAGAGTCAAGAGTTACGTCCGCCTTTGAACTTGGAATGGTCGAGACGTGAAAAAGCGAGACTCGACGATTTTCAGCCGGAGTATTTATGATGCGAGTAATTATGACATAACGTCGGTGTTGCGAGTAGATTCATCAAAATCGTCTCGTCCCCGTCCTGTCTCGTTGGCCGGTTTACTTTTCAGTTAAACGATTCTACGACCTAGAGCACACGAGTGCGCGCTCGAGCGAATATGTTATTCCGTACTCCGGCATTTTGTCGCTTTCTCTGGGCGCACCGGTGCTTTCCGCATCGTGTGCTTTCAGGAGGAATGACTTTGGCCTGGAAATGCCAAAAGAATTTCCAGATCTACACGCTCCCCGTAGCCGGCGGCTATCGCGCACCCAAAGACCCGCTCCCGCCGGTTCTGACTTTCACTCCGAAATGTCAACGGCTGGTGGTTCACTTTTCAAAGCCGTGCGCGTATCAATCAATGCGTGGTTACGGCGACAAAGGGACGATTGTTGCGAAGCGGTTCTACGATTTCTCCTTCTTTCTGTTGCAGACCGTACGCGCCAGTCGACACGTGGACGCTTGCTCGATCGCGAGCACCAGTCGGAGATGGGCGAACTCGTGTTACTCTTGTTGTTTATTATATATGGAACCGTGGCCTACGACGCTAGAACACGACGGATCTCGTTCGAACACGGAATATATGTTTTGGACAAACGATTTAGGTTCTTTCGCATAGTTTGTTCTCGTGAAAATGAAACTGGGTATCGTCGAGCCCCACAGGCTGTGGCTGCGGAGCAGGTTTTCGATGGTTGAGGCGATTGGTTGGAACGACGATCTTCCGTGAAAGAATTTCAACGCCTCGGGCTAGACGGGGATCTTGGCGCGGACATTTTCTTTGGTTATCTAGCTGTATGAGTTTTATTCGACATCATAAAGCTAGGTTACCGGAGTTAAGCTCCTCGCCATATCAACTTCAGCGATCTTCTATCCCTTCTATCGTGGTCCTTTCACGCACTTCAAGAATTACACAGTGATACGCAACTACTTCCTACGCTACCTGTAGTCTTAAACTGACCGTGTACAAGGGATGTTAAAATAAAGATGTAGCGAGCGAACAATCTTAAATGCACCTCTGTACCTCAGAGGCAAACTATGTTAATTGCAAGATTTGAATTGCTGCGAAAAATATAATAAAGTATAATACATGATTTACCACTTATCATATCAAACTTCAAAAAATATTACTCGACAGTTTGCTACGTAGAGTACCTGCTAGACGTAGCAGTTGAACTCGTTTACTTAATCGAATGATTTAATAATTTGTAATTCGTTAGCCTATGCGAATCAATTATGAATGACGATAACGATCTATAAAAAGATCGTCAAATATTGATCTACAAATAATGCGATTAATTGCTAATCGTTTTGGAAATAAATTGTTTCATTGTAACGACGACCCTATGCACGTGTATCGCGCACCGCATGCGAAATAAATATCAATTCTGACGAAACAGAACAGAACATTCCTTGAAATTCCCGAATTTCTAATAAATATTCATCGAGCGAACCGTCGAAAGAAAGTTTTTCCTTTGGAATTCGTAGTAGCTACATCGGCGCTACGATGAATAGAAAAAGAAGAAAATACATCTAACGTGCTCCAAAGATTTCTGTATTCCTTTCGCACGTGAACCTACGGGTTGGGCATTTGTAATTACTAGTAGTGTCATTGCCACGTGACTCGAGTACTTATTGAGAACTTTTCAAAACTTGGTACCGATATTTCTATTTTTTGGGCAGTTAGATAAATGAATAACGATAAATAAATATTTCGTGTCCCAAGAAGATCGAGAATGCAATTCGCTCCGTTTGGAAGGAAAAATCGTTTCCCACGTACAGAGGGATGAATGTAACGTTCACTCTTTTCCGATAAATTCTAAGATAAACCGTCATTCGAGCAAACAAATTTCTATTTTTAAAGTACTGGTGGCTAATATCCTGATGTACCTTTAGCAAAAATTCACGCACAGAGTAATCGCAAAAGCTAAGATGTACATATGTTCAGGAAAATTTCAATTCATCGACGCCTGTCGGCGAATATATGCAAATTCATTCATTTGTAACAATCCCAGAGGTCGCCACAGTCCGGTACATGGAGTAGAGTTCGATACCGACTGAACTTTCGCGGTTTTTATGAACTTCTCCACCGAGTTAAACGTGTTATCAACGTTGATTCATAATTTCTCGAAATGATTTTGACGTATTTTCCTATGCTACACAATCTCTGTAAAATAACATGTAACGAAACGATTCAGTTCCAATTCTTATAAAATATTACACGTTCAGTACAAGTATATCGATACTGGCTTTAGAATTTATACACAACTACAAAATATTACGAAACATTCTCGAAGTGTTTATTCTGATATATCTCATTGATATAGCTGCGAAATTGGCATTAGAAAGAATGAGTCACTTGCGGAATATACATACACACATGCAGCATGGAGAAGCTTCCAGAACATCGTACGTATTTCGATCTTATTTCAAGTGATAGAATGACGTAGATACATTTTACAAATAAAATCGTTCGAGAAGGAATGACAGGGAATCAGCGCGTACTTAAATAATGCCATCAAACTCTCAGGAATTCCATTTTCATGTCCGATAAACAAAATTCATGAAATTAGAAAATAAATTCCTTTTAGCGAAAGTAAACAATAGCTGCTGTTCGTTCTTGTCGATTAAATAAATGACGAGAAACGATACTCACGATCTAATCGAATTATGGTTTCCCCGGAATGCAGTTGATAATCATCGTTTTATTCGCTTGTCCAAAAATATTCGATAATGTTCGAGTTCATTCTAGTCGAACAAATGCCGGAAGTACAACGTTAAGGAAAGAAACAACTAAATCAACTTTTATCGTCAGAAATGGCCGCGTGTGCGGCGAAATGGAAAAAAATCATGATCCCTATTTTTTAAAAACGAACGATATCTTTAAAACAGATGAAAGACAACTCTTTAATGAAGCATCGCTGAAATGGATTTATATTTTACCGGATATTGGGCGTCCATGGTGGGCGAAAATGTTCTAGAACGTTCTAGAACGTTCTAGCATTTCAGTCGGTATATAAAGCGGGACCTATCGACGCGCAACACCATTCAATAAAGTTGCCAGGTGCTCGTCACTACGCTCGTGTATTGCAGACAAGCTTACTTTAAACTCTACTTACTTGGACATCAAGGTACAATTGCGTTAAATTAATCGTTAAAAATTATTCTGTGCTTCTTAGTGTATTTAGATAATCGTTGACGTATTTAGAAAATCGTATTTTTTGGATTGATACGATCAAGTGACACGCTAAAAAAACTTCAGTGTTAGATTTTTTTATTATGCTCTCCTTTTTTCTAATTACATTTCAGAGTGGATTCGGTATTTCCGTAATAAATCTGTGTGTTCCGATCGATTATTCTAGGTTAGCGTTCGTAATTCTTTGTTTTCGATAAGTATATTTCAATGTACCGACCACGTGCTTTATACGCGCTAAAATCTTTCCCTTTTCATAAATCTTATCAATGCAAATTGTATATGTTGCGTATAAAATATTGTGAAATCTAGAAAAATTTTTCTATGTACTACACGTATAAAAGTAATCAAGAAACTTGCGAAATCTTTAAAATAACGCAACGAGTATATGTTTCTTATTCTTTTTTTCTATTTTAGATGTCTACGCAAATGGAAACTGAAGGAGGAGATGTGGAGACCTTCGCCTTCCAGGCAGAGATTGCCCAACTTATGTCCTTGATCATCAACACGTTTTATTCTAACAAAGAGATTTTCCTTAGAGAATTGATTTCAAACTCCAGTGATGCTCTTGATAAGATTCGCTATGAGTCTTTGACCGATCCTTCCAAACTTGACAGCGGTAAAGAGTTGTACATCAAGATTATTCCTAACAAGAACGATGGTACTCTGACTATTATCGATACTGGCATTGGTATGACAAAGGCTGACTTGGTTAATAACCTTGGTACAATTGCAAAATCTGGCACAAAGGCGTTCATGGAAGCCCTTCAGGCTGGCGCAGACATATCCATGATTGGTCAGTTTGGTGTAGGATTTTATTCTGCTTACCTTGTAGCTGATAAGGTTACTGTTGTTTCCAAGAATAACGACGACGAACAGTACCTATGGGAATCCAGTGCTGGTGGATCGTTCACAGTCAGGCATGATACCGGAGAACCACTGGGACGTGGTACGAAAATTGTCTTACACATTAAGGAAGATCAAAGCGAATATTTAGAGGAAACTAAAATTAAGGAAATCGTTAAGAAGCACTCTCAATTTATTGGTTATCCGATTAAGTTGGTCGTGCAAAAGGAGCGCGAAAAGGAATTGAGCGAAGATGAAGCTGAAGAGCCAGAAGAAAAGAAAGAAGAAGACGATGGAAAACCAAAAATTGAGGATGTAGGAGAAGATGAAGAGGCAGATGATAAGGACAAAGATGAGAAGAAAAAGAAGAAGAAAACTATTAAAGAGAAGTACACAGAAGACGAAGAACTGAACAAAACTAAACCCATCTGGACCAGAAATCCTGATGACATCACCCAAGAAGAATACGGCGAATTTTACAAATCTCTGACCAATGATTGGGAGGACCATTTGGCTGTCAAACATTTCTCTGTAGAAGGCCAGTTGGAATTCAGAGCTTTACTTTTCGTTCCTCGTCGCATGCCATTCGATCTCTTTGAGAATAAGAAGAGGAAAAATAACATTAAACTTTATGTAAGAAGAGTATTCATCATGGACAACTGCGAAGAACTGATTCCAGAGTATTTGAACTTCATGAAGGGAGTGGTCGACAGCGAAGATCTTCCATTGAACATTTCTCGTGAGATGCTTCAGCAAAATAAAATTTTAAAAGTTATTCGTAAGAATCTTGTTAAGAAATGTCTTGAATTGTTTGAGGAACTCACGGAGGATAAGGATAACTACAAGAAATTCTATGAACAGTTCAGCAAGAATATTAAATTAGGTATTCACGAAGATAGCGCTAACCGCAGTAAATTATCCGATCTTCTGAGGTATCACACTTCAGCTTCTGGAGATGAAGCTTGCTCTCTTAAGGACTATGTAGGCAGAATGAAGGAAAATCAGAAGCACATATACTTCATCACTGGAGAGAACAAGGAACAAGTTGCAAACAGTTCGTTTGTCGAACGAGTAAAGAAACGTGGCTTCGAAGTTGTCTACATGACTGAACCCATCGACGAATACGTAGTACAACAATTGAAAGAATTCGATGGAAAGCAGTTGGTGTCTGTAACCAAAGAAGGATTGGAACTTCCCGAAGATGAAGAGGAGAAGAAGAAGCGAGAGGAGGACAAAGCCAAGTTTGAAAACTTGTGCAAAGTAATGAAGAATATACTTGACACAAAGGTTGAGAAGGTGGTGGTATCCAATCGTTTGGTCGACTCTCCTTGCTGTATCGTTACTTCGCAATATGGTTGGACAGCAAATATGGAGAGGATTATGAAGGCTCAAGCTCTTAGGGACACATCTACCATGGGATACATGGCAGCAAAGAAGCATCTTGAAATCAATCCGGATCATGCTATCATCGAAACACTCAGACAAAAGGCGGACGCTGACAAGAGCGACAAGGCGGTAAAAGACTTAGTAATTTTGTTATTCGAGACTGCGCTTCTTTCTTCAGGTTTTACTTTGGATGAACCACAAGTACACGCTGCCAGAATTTATAGAATGATCAAGCTGGGTCTTGGTATTGACGAAGAAGAACCGCTTACACTCGAAGACCAGAAAGTTGAGGACGTTCCTACGGATGAAGTAGCCGAAGATGCATCTCGAATGGAAGAAGTAGATTAGATATAAGATCTGAATAGGAAGTAAGAAATTAATGTCATTTAGTCATTAAAAGACTGTTAAAATAGCCACGTTTTATGTGGTATATTGATGACCATTCTCATTTTTATTTTCTGTATTAAATAATTTTTAATTTATCATACCAAATTCTGTTTAAATGCCAAAAATCTTTGGAATAAGTTACAATTACAATAAAGTAAACTTTATTATTAAATGTGTGTCTTTAATACAATCCATTCCCTCTTAATATAATGGTAGGATTTAGATATAAAAATAAATTATTGAAAATATTTGAATACTCGTTCATAGCTACAAAAATCAATAAAAGTGAATGTTGCATTTAGAATATAGTTAGCGTTCCTTACATTCGATCAACCTAAACTTTGTAAATTAACAAATTTATAATCACGTATTCCTGGTATTTGAATTAGAATAGTTTGATATCATATAATATTACTTCTACATTACATCGCATGTGCAACCGCTAGAATTTCGCACTCGTAAAGGCATTTGGCGATTATTTTGTACCCGCAAAAGTATGTCAAAAAACGCCATCTACCTGAAGGTTCAAAGTGAACAGATAGGACATTCTGTTGCAGACGAAATTCACTCTCTGCATTAGACAGTTAGGTTATAAACAAAAAAGTATGATGGCAAGTAAAGGGTGGAAGGTTAGTGCATCAGCATAATTTTAATAAAAATTTACCGTACGTCAATACGCGCATTCAATGCATAAAATTCTAATCTAAGGAAATTGAATTTTTGCAGGTTGTAAAGCCTCACGTGCCGATGATTAAATTTCGCAAGGGCGGAATCGACAGAGGTAACGTCAGTTTAATCGTTATTAAATGCTTTCGTTGAAAAAGCCGAATGAAATTTTATTATTGGTTAGCAAGTGCAGGTTCAGCGGCCACATCGCCTGCGCATTCAGGGGCGGCGACGTTACAACAGAATAAAGTTGGTGCGACGGGCCCAAATGTGACCGTTTTGCCGACGATAGAGGATATTTATCTACCTCCACGATTCCAAAGACGGCCCATAGACGAAAAAGAAATAGCATATATCAATGCAAGTATATTATTATTTTACATATTACTATCTGTGCAACTTAACATGGTTCATGTTCATTTATGTGCATAATACAGTGCAGAAGGCATCATAAAAATAAATTAATAATCAAGTACATACAATAACTTTTTCAATGTACATTTATTGAAGATAACACCTTGCATTAAATGAGTTTTTCTTTTACAGCGAGGTGGTCCAGAATAAATTCCTTAAGTAATCGGTGGAACATGATTGACTTAGAACTTTCTTAATAAGACATTTCTTTCATACACCTTTCTGTACAATGTGTTCTGTAAATAAATGAAAGCAAGACAAGTAGCTACAAGTTGTACATATTTCTGTCTTCTACCTATCGGGCAAGGTCTCTCTGTTTGCTTGTATGACATTGCCAGAACCTGCTATTTCTGGCCAGCATTTTGGCTCATTCTTGTAACAAGTAAAGTGTGTTAACCTTAAGACAAGAGGATAGTATTTTGATAAAATTATCATTTTCCATTTACTGATCACATATCAGTATTTTAGAATTATTGTTGGCAATTAGTCAGAATCTAAATATAAAACATTACGAATTTTGGAATAAGTCATGTGTAATAATTTGTTTCATCTTAATCATTTTTTTTTTCATATATTCGTCATTAATTTCATGGTCTCAGCTGCAAGGGAATCGTGGTCTTAAACATAATTTTTTTAAAGTTTTGAGATTGAGAATATATTACAATTTTACCAAATTAAGAAAACATATTTTAGGAGCAAAAGCTAATAGAGACAGCCCTGTTCCATGACAGAAATAGCAGACGACAGTGCGCTGTGTCTTTCAACCGCTCGCGATCCCTGGACGTGATAACGGGAGACCCGCGATCGTTTTACTTTTTATCGAAATTACGAAAGTTATACGAACGACGATTTTACGAATATGGCTGAGATAACGGATTTCGGTCCACGAAAGACGGTTTTTATTCTGGCCATTGTGGCTGGCTGCTTCGCGGTATTATGGCCGAAAATTTTCTATCCTATGCTCACAGCATCTGTCACTCCACATCACACATCCGACAGCTCTGGTAAGATTTTATTATGTCTATTAAATAAATTATTAAGGATACCTTTATGTAAACATTATTTTATTTTTCAATTCTTTATTGTTATTGTCGTTGAATTTTTGATGGAAAATGTAACAATTCAAGTATAATAATTGCAGTAAGTGTTCTTCTTTCTTGTAATATTCAATTAGTAATATCTAAAGTTAATTACTCAGATGTATTACACGTGTTTTAGTAAAGTTTCCTTTATCATCATTAAATTGTGATCATAAATATTTATTAGCCTGCTGCGACGTAATATTTGAAAGTGATGTCAATGCTGCTGATATTATGTATGAAATATGTCAGAATATATTGAAGCATCATCAAGTTGATCCACGAGTAAGGGATGCTCTGAAAACTATAAAGCTGACACCCCAAAGCGCAAGTTTATGTAGAGAAGAAATTTTAGCCAGATGTGGCATAGATTTATCTACATTTCTTGCAGAAAGGGAAAGCTTGGGAAAATCTAATAAACAAGTTTTGGAAGAAATCAGATCATTTAATGGTTCCCTATGCCTTAAGATGCATTTTGGTATACCCCTTTCTCAGTTAGGAACTCCACATCTCATCAGATATCATATTTTAATGCCACACAGTAAGAATTAAAAAAGGTCCTATTCAAAATTGTTGAGAGTAGTTACTAATAAGCTATAGCATGTGTAACTTTGTTAGGCTCTTAACATAAACTAGATTATTGCAAATGTATTAATACTACTAAACTCTTAATTTTATTATTAATTAAAAACATGATTTTTATACTAATAATCTCACCAATTATGTATGGAAAACAGATTCAAGTTATCTTTTCTACTTTGGCAAGTTGCCAAAAGAGCAAGCATAACTACCGATGAGTAGATGGGGATAAGTTTGGCCTATAGTCATAGTTTCAAATACATCTATGTAATAATCCTTTCCACTATGCATAAATATTACAGGCTAATATTATTTTTATGAAATTTAATAATAATAAAATACACTTAACAGAGTTTTGAGTTTTGAGTTTTGTTTATTTCACGTGCATTATTTCGATAGTATATTAAAAAATATTTATATTTTTAGTAACACTACGACAAGAACGACGTACACCTCCTCATGCAGGTGGTCTACATCCTGCATTGAGAGAACGTGGAAGAGCCATACCTTCCTCTCACATTGTACCAAAAGTGGTAGATAGACCTGATCATGTTGTGCCAAAAATGAGACCACCCTTGGGAGGTGCAGGTCATGTTGTTTCTGCACCAAAAGGAAGTAGTACAATGGGAATCATCATGCCACTATATACTTTAGGCATTGTACTGTTTTTCCTGTATACAATTGTCAAGGTAAACGACTTGTAAGATTTTTACCAACATTTATAATCAGTGAGAAAACTAATTATTGTTTTATTAGGTGTTGAAGAAAAATTCGGATAGCGAGATCATTTCGGAATATCCGGGAGTTGCGGCGGAAAAAGAATTTCGAAAAATGGTATTTAGTCCCGAGGCTTTCGCTAGCGCAATGACTGGTGGTACAATGCATTATCAAAAGGATAGATCGGAAACACCCGAGGGACCCGCCCCCACCATAGAGGAATTAAAGGATCGTAAGTTTTTTCTATGTTAACAAAATTATTAATGACACTTGACTTATATTATCATTAATGCAGTGTTTTCCTTAAAAGCTATTTCCTTTAAAGAAATACTGAAAAATAAGGTACATGTTTTCTTGAGTATCTAATCAGATTTTTAAATGGTGTTGCATGATGCAAGGTTTGCACAATTAGAACACACACGTATTTATACTATAAATTTAACAAAAGAAAATGTTAGACTAAAATTACAAATATTGTAAGTACTCGTGTACAGTCTCTGAACACATTTGGTAATGTTATACATGCTGGAACACAAGAAGCGGCAGGAGACATAGAGATAGATCAACTGAGACGACGTTTGGTCGAGACGGAAGCAGCCATGGAAAGAATTGTTGTCCAGATGGGCAACATATCACGTTCAGTTATGCATAGTCCAAGCTCACAACAAGAACTCAAGGTTTACTAGACAAATTTTGAAGCAATTTACATTTTCAGTTTCTTAGCCCTTAGAAATGTGCACGTTGTTGTGTTCTGATTGCGTTTCAAGCTTTACCTATCCTATTCTATGTTATATACGGATCGTATATTTCGTATAAAATCTTCAAAATTTTGCTACTTCTACATTTCAATGCTTCTGGATAACCATTTCTAAATTATTGATAATTAATTTTTTAAATATTCGTCTTCATGAAAAGTGCATACTCATATTTTAGTTGAGTGAAATACTCATTACGAGCATTTAAGTAAATAAATATATTATGTAATAGAATTCATAGTTCTTATTTTTACATTTAAATAGTAGATGGGCCTCCAAAGTCCAAAGATCTGGCAGGGGTCGATCACTCGTCTAAGGTATATTCTTTGCCTCAGAAGTTTCCTAACAAGAGTAACCAAAGGTTTATTGTAATACATTTTGTGATTTAGGCTTATGTACTCAGGTGTTAGGAATTCGATTCTATAGTAACCACATTTAATACTATTAAATACCGATTTAAATAATGAATGAGAATATTTATAACACATACTAAAACATATGATAATCAATTTCTAATACAAATTTGTGTTGTCTTGTTTAAAAAGAAACTTGATTTTCGAAATCAAATTGCCTACTTTTGTTATTATAACAATTTTTTTTAAACAGTACGTGCAGCATGGTCTTTTCATACTTTTTTTTATAAGATGTGTGATTTTTATGTAAATAGTATATCATGACCTCAACAGAGATTAATAATATATTAAAAAAATGTGTAAATATGTTTTCCAGAAAACGATACATGCGATTACTTATTTTGATAATTTCATTTCCAGGACGGTACCGTTGTCCAGGCTGAGCATAGTAATACAGATGATGAAGTAGAAAATATAGAAAATTCGCCGACTATTAAAGTCATGGGTATGGAAATGACAGCTAGTTGCGAGGGTAAGGGTAGTAGACCTACTACTCCTATAATACCTATTTCACCTAGGTAATAATATATTTGCGTGATACATTTGTTACGATAGTACTCTCGATAATTATTATCGAATTATTTTAGTCATGTTGAGAGGGAGAAAACACCGCCTAAACCTATCTATTTAGAAGGTGCACTTCCTCCACAATGTGAATTACTCGTAACCGATTCAAAAACACAAGCTCAAAAAGCAGAAGAGGACACAGAAGCACCTGTCGTACTCTCAGGCAAAATGACCCTCTCTCTCATCAGTCTCGACCAAAATGCAGCTGTAAGAAAATATTAGAATTACCAACAGAATCGAATGAATCTGCGGAGCCTTGTTTTATTTGGTGATTCTTTTATTCATTTAATTGTTTGCTTTCATATAGATTATTTAACACGAAAATGGCAAATCACAGGAATGATATGAAACGTAAAAAAAAAATATTTTTGGTAACGACATGCATAAATTCAATGCTAACGTGTTATTTGGCAATAATAATCACTTACACTCTGTGATTTGTTTTAGATATGAATGTTTAATTTATATTACGCATTGGATTTGTTACTAATCACGACTTCTAGTTTAAACTATACACATTATACAACACCAAGGGACTGCTTGAATCATTAAAAAAGTATCGAGTTAATTTTATTTCTCAAGCAATATTCAACTTTAATTAATATTTATAATTTTGGGAACGTTGATAATAATTTAAAATTACTCTCTAACTGCTTTATGACTTTTCTTTAAGAAATAATGAACAACACTCGCCTACACTTAACACACACTTAATTGAAATAATCAAATGCGTTTAACAATTATACATTTACATAGTTATTCTTTTTGTAGGAGTTCTATAGAGTATACAGTTGGTACACAATTTAAACATCACAATTAGATATTTTATTATAATTTAGACTTCAGATTGATTATATAATAATGAAATTAAAAGCGCTTAATATTATTTCACTGAACTAGGAATCAGAAGATGAAAATCATGAAGTACAGGAAACGGAAGATGCAATCACCTTGGACATGGATGACAAGGAAAAGGAGTCAAGCGTTAAAACACTTGAAAGTGGTATACAAGAAAATGTACAGATTAAGACAGAAACTGAACATGCAAATGAAGATTACGAAAGGAGAGAAATGAGAATAGGCGAAGACGAAGATGAAGAAGACGAAGTAGAAGACGAAGAGATTGTGGAAGAGGAAGTGGAAGAAGAAGATGAAGAGGTTGTGGAAGAGGAATATGAAGAAGAAGAAGAAGAAGATGATGATGATGATGATGATGATGATGAAGAAGAAGAAGAAGAAGATGATGATGATGATGAAGAAGAAGTGGGTATAAGTGAGTATGAAGAAGATGATGATCCTGAAGAAGAGGAAGAAGATCAACTAGATGAAGAAGAAGAAGAAGAGGAAGAAGAAGAGTATATAGAAGAACTACCACTGGACTTAGTACATAGAGGAGTAAAAACAGAAATAAAAAAACATGAAAAGGAGGAAGTATAAGCGAACATAGATAAAAAATGATGAAGTAGAAAGATAAATTGCTACAGATGGACAAGTAGTAGAAATGGAAATAGATGAAAATGAAGGAAAAGTTGAAGCAGTAATAGATGAAGATGAAGACAACAGGTTGCCTTATAGTGAAAAGACGTTGCAGACAAAAATAACAGACTAATAATCAATTAAATCAGTGTTTACCAATCTTTGAAATTTACGTGATATTATAATAACGGTTTGCAAAAGTAACGCCAAACACTACAGATGTTGGTCGAGCACTGCCAAACACCTAATTTCATAAGACTCGATTTTACTGCATGCTTACATTATTGCCTGTTGTATTCTATACTTCACGGAATCAAAAATTTATGAATCAGAGGGGCCAAGTAAGAGGCAGTGCTTCGTGCACATGTCCGATAGTGTCATTGTGCAATGAAGACCACAAAATTATAGTACAGTCAATAGACACTATAATTATCGACATTGTTACGATACTCATTCTCAATTGGGTACGATGATTGGCAAGCACTGATCTGTATGCTTGTGCACATGCCAGTCGTTTCTGTTTAATGCTACATAGTATTTTTTATTACGCCAAAAATTTAATTACAAATTCGTCCGCTCATTTTTTTTATTAATGTTAAAGACTCAATTTTACATGGCATACTATATATAATATTTGTTCAGTTACATTTAGATGAACATTTTTTAGTAATATAGCTTACAAAGTCATTTAGTACGTAGAATTGTCATTTTCATACCTATGCTTAGTAATGCAATTCTTCTATATTAGATGCCAGTGCAAGATATAATCTTTATTATCCTTATATATGATTGCGTGTTGTTTATTATGTAAAAATAAAAAAAAAAGAAACGCAAGTAAAAATTCAATGTAATATCTTGTGAAAGCTAGAGAATTTGTTTCCTTGCATGACATTTTATGGTACATCGACGATGTATCGATGTATTGTAATGTACATACATACACCATTCATTTTTTTTGTAATTATTACAAACGAAGTTGTTAGTATTGTTATATAATATCTGTACAAATAGATAGAATTGATTGTCAAATCGTAATAAGCAAAAAATGCGGAAAATTGTTAAGTTTATAAAATTATATAGAAAATATACACACATTGAAAGTAAAATAATTTTTTAACTTATTTTTTATATTATGACATTTCATAATCCATAAAAATTTTTATTGTTATTGTAACTTTAATTAAACTGTTATAATTTTCAATTTAAAATAAACCCACCCCTACATATTTCTACGTTATAGAGCTGCCGCATTTTTTGTAAAGATTTTGGAAACATATTAATATTTATTATTTCCGATTTAAAAATTTTGCCTTGTCATAAAAGCATTAAAAATGTTTGCTTATCCTCGACACAGAATGATTTTAATGTTGATACATTTCATAATTGTCCAGAAATTTTTTTGCGGTTGCAAATGTAATTAGATTGTTACTACATATACAGACACATTCGTAATCATATTTTATTTATTATTAAATATACATATTTCAATGCAGTAGTGAACCTCAACATTGTTATTAAAAAATAAATAATATACTAAATTTGGTGTTTCTTTTTTCTGTCCCAAGCTATAAATTTCAGATACCAATACGAAACATTTTCGTATGTCCCCAACTATATATAGTTACATAATTCTATAGTTACTGCATTTAGATTAATCCAGATCAATCTAGATACTTCGTTTAAATTATCTTCGTAACCTACACTCAATTCGGATTTTCAATTTAATAAATGAGAAACTTGGTACACATAAATTATGGGATTATCCGTTTCAGATTAAGTTATATGGTATTGAAATTTTTTTTAGAGTAGAATAAATAAAATTTTCTTTTCGTTAGATTTCATATTTACGTATGCATGTACCCACTTAACCTGCAAAAAATTATTTTCTTCTGGATTCAACCAGTTATTAACAGATTCTATCTGTATTTATATTTACGTTTGCATTAAAAAAGTACACATCCTATTCTTCTTTTGCAGATAAAATTATATGTACTTCGAAGAAGTCGTAATTAAAGAACGTGATGAATTCGTAAATATGCATCTTCGAGTATGTTAAATTTGAAAATACCTTTAACACTTTTAGTACATAAGTACGATAGATGGGAGTACGACAATTTTTCCGCAGTGTCCTTATAGGCATCCCTATCGGGATTACCTTTTTGGACACAATTGGTTACATAGCCAAGGTAGAAGGAATCTCTATGCAACCAACCTTAAACCCAGATATCAAACACTGTGATTACGTTTTTCTGAGTCGTTGGGCAGTTCGTTCTCAAAATATTCAGCGTGGTGAGATAGTAGCTGTTATATCTCCCAAAGTACCAAGCCAAACTCTGATTAAGCGTGTTGTGGGACTTTCTGGAGATGTTATAAGCACACATGGATATCGGACTGACGTATTAAAGGTATTCAACTTGTTCCTTTGTAAATATTTGTCTGTTCTATTTGAGTGCTTAATAAGAATATTTATTTATTAGATACCACAAGGTCATTGTTGGGTAGAAGGAGATCATACTGGTCACTCTATGGATTCTAATAGTTTCGGACCAATTTCTCTTGGTTTAATAACTGCCAAAGCAACTTTCATAGTGTGGCCACCTAGTCGTTGGCAATACCTTCATCCTTTTACCAGCTAGATTAAATCTAATTTATACACAATGAGGGCTGTTAGTTTTGTTAAAAGACTGCAATGGGATTTACCTGGTACTGTGTGCAGACATGGATTGACAATAGGAGATGTAGATAACGATGGGGACAATGAATTAGTTGTTGGTACAGCAGAAGGAGAACTTTATATTTTCAAAGTAAGTTATTTATTTACTAATAACTTTATGCTTAGAAGTTAGTCTCTGTGGACATTGCAACAACTACTTTGAAACACTGTTTCACAGGGATCAGAGCTGTGGCAGAAAATACCAGGTTTAGGTATTGTGACCAGCGTAGCTATAGGAGATATTTTCAATTACGGACGAAACGCGCTAGTAGTGATTTGTGGAGATGGCTGGGCACATATTTTTTACAGTCCAAGATCTGTTAATCCTAGTACTATTAACGCAACATCCGCTCAGCAATTAGTTAAAGAAACAGCTGATCAAGATAATATTAAAAGTGGTGAGTTAAAAAATTGAATCATGGCTTGATTAAGGAAAAGCATATTTCTCAAATTTATATCGTCGGATATAATTACAGGCTATGCAAACGTGGATATCGTGACAGGTGTTAATATGACAAATTCTCAGAGTTCAGATCAAACGGATGGTAATAGCGACGGGAACGAGTTATCTGGTAAAATGGAATGTGTTCATGTACAAAGAATCCCAACAAATACAAAGGTAGTGTTAGTAGCCGATGTAGATAGAGATGGTGCAAACGAGATGATTTTAGGCTTGACCGACCGCGTAGTTAGGTCTTACAGATGGTCAAGCAATTTAGAATTAGGAAGAGGAAAGTTAGTTGGATTAAATAAGTGGGAGTGTGCCAATCAAATAGGAACAGTTACATTGCAAGTATGTTAACTCTAGTTAACTTGAAAATAAGATTGATGACAGTAGTTAATTTTTCGATTTCTGTTTAGCATACGGCGGATGGTACACCAACGTTATTAGTTGCTCAACCCGGAGGAACGTTCATGCGTATTAAATGTAATCCCAAAGATGGCCATTTAGAGGATGAAGCTCACAAAACAGACGATGAATCAGCAGCAAGCTGCGTAGATTATCAAACATTGGGAATATCGCGAATGCGTAATCAAAATATATCGACAGAAATTATAGGAGATTTGGAACCTACAACAGAGAATAAAACGTCGAACGACGAAAGTAAAGACTCTACAGCCAAGCAGAATGTTTCGAGTGAAATTCAACACAATAGAAATTTAAAATCTGGATCATCGGAATTTAAAGAAAATAATCCACAATCGGAACTAAAGAAAGATAATTTGGGTACAGCGGAAGTAGAGAAAGCCTCCGAAAAAACTGATCCTCCGACCACAGATCAAGTCGATGGTAATCTCATAGGGGGCAATTTAATTCTTGGCGACTACGACGAAAAAACGGAAAAGGACTCGTCGTTATCTGCGTACAAACATTTGTCTTGTTCAGAAAATGTCGACAATAATAACACCGAAAATTTCAAATTAAAAGATAAATCCGAAGGTACCACGAATACCGAACAAATTTCATGGCAGGGAAAACCTTACGCTCTTGCCACTTTAGATGGGACAATAATGTTAGTGAAGGATGAAAATATTTTATGGTAAGATTGAAATATAAAAATGTTCGAATTATTTTGCGACAGTTTGTATATCGTACAATTTACACGTTTCTTTTTTAGGTCCATGCAAGTAGATCGTCTGATATTCGCTTTGTGTCGACTAGACGTAACCGGAGACGGTTCTGACGAAATAGTGGCTTGCACGTGGGATGGACAAACTTATATTTTAGATCAACAACGAAACAGCGTACGCTTTCAGTTCGAGGAGCCGGTTAGGGCATTTTGTACCGGTAACTACAACGTTTCCCCCGGGATTTCAACACCTTGTCTTGTATATAATACTTTTAATAATAAGGTAAGTTTTCCTTTTTTCTTTTCCAAGGCGTAACGAGAAACGAGAACATTAAAAAACGTTAAAGAATACTTACAGATTTTCCTTTACTACGACGTTACGCTTCCAAGTATGGTCATCAAATCTTTCAACCCTCTGGAGGAGCTCGACCCTGAAGAGAAAAAGACTTTAGATGATCTCTTACAAAACTGTCACGGTACGGAAAGACAACAAAGAATGCAACAGTTCACGGAATGGTTGTTATACGGAATATCTTAGAATTACGTAATACTATAGTTTGTATATAAAATAAAAAAAATACTAGCATATTCTCGTAAAATGTTCGTGTTCTTATTTCACGCGACGTTATACCTTACGCGTACAACATTTTTTCGAATAAAACTACGATTCGTCGAAACAGAAATGCTATTTAATTAACGCGTAAAAAAATTTATTGCTTGGATTAAGATATCTTTTTTCATTCGAGAGAACGATAGTCTAATTCTATCGACAGGATACAGCTGCTTGCGTCTTATCAAGAATAATATATGACCAACAAAAAAATCTCATTATAGATTTTTGACAAACAAGGTCTGCGATCGTATCGGCCAAATCCAATTTCAGGACACCTAACTGTTTGCGAAACACCGTGAAAAACAGAACTTTATCTGTCCATCGTAAATTAGGTTGATATTCGTATAACATCGGCTAGACATATAACATGATGTCTGAGCGTCATCGTTGTCAGTGGGAATGTAGATCTCATCGGGTACTTTTCCAACCATTAACGAAATCATTGTATCTTTCTGATAAGATTAAATATGATCGATGCATAGGAAAAGTATAAAAATCTCTGGAATTAGTAGTTAAAGTATTTGGGACTGTCGGTTCGAAGTCGCGATTGAAACAGTGATTCGGTAGCATCGCGTCGGAGAGGAACAGAAACTTGGCATGTGAGTGTCGTATTTACATACAACGTTATCTTTATATTTTCAATGAGTCTACGTGAATCTATCGATCACATCGATAGATAGTTTTCCGTCTAAGTGAACGTGCACGTTACGTAAATCAAAAACAATTCGAACGGTCATATAAAAATAAAATAGATTTAGCGACTTTTTCTATTGCGACGAATCCTATGGCATCGTAAATAAGGAAGAAAATCGGTCGAATAGAGCAGCTTTTGATTTGCAATAGTTTGATAATTCGAGGAGTGCAAGTATAGAAGCGGCGAGTTGTCGCGTGAATGCTAATTTTTTAATTTATTTTAGAATGGCAGAGAATGAAACGACAGCGGAATTCCTCGAACAAGGATTGAGGCATCTGACATTCGGATGGACCGATTACACCTTGTTTATCGGCCTCTTAGGCATCAGCGTCTTGATAGGAATTTATTTCGGCTGTTTCAGCAAGAAACAGGATAACACCACCGAGTACTTGCTCGGGGGGAAAATGATGTCCTGTTTTCCGGTTGGCATGAGTCTGGTCGCAAGGTAATCAAGAACTTTGAAAATATCTCTCGCGGAAAGACGACGACAAGCTTATGAAAATTTCTACGACGGTTACCAGTTCGTTAAATTAAGTTGTACTTAATTTATTTCAGTCACGTATCGGCGGTCTCTTTGCTCGCCATACCTGTCGAAGTCTATCAGTATGGTACACAGTACGCTGCCTGCATTTTTACATCTTTCATATCGTGCGGTCTCATTTCCCTTATCTATTTGCCCGTGTTTTATCAACTTCAATTGACCAGCACTTTCGAATACTTGGAGATGAGATTCACGAGGCCGGTTCGAACCTTCACCTCGTTCCTCTACACCCTATCGTTGGTGATTTACATCCCTTTGATCATTTACGTGCCGGCGTTGGCTTTCTCGCAGGCAACATCGATCAATCTGCACCTGATCACGCCGATAATCTGCACCGTGTGCATATTCTATACGACCATAGTAAGTCTCTCTCTCTTTCTTTCTTTCTTTCTTTCTTTCTCTCTCTCTCTCTCTCTCTCTCTCTCTCTCTCTCTCTCTCTCTCTCTCGATACGACATTGAGTTAATCGTTAGAGGTTCAATTGTATTTCTCGGAATTCCGATTCACATGGAATATCCAAATTTTGTCTTGCTCTTTCAAACATCTGTTTGCGAAAGAAACTCGGACCGCTAAGGATTAACACAGACGAGACGGTGTTTATAAACATCATTTGACACGACGTTCAAGAAATACTCGGAACTAGTCGACGAAATTGCGAAAGACGCCATGAATGGAGGCGTATCAATGATTTAAAGTGGAATTATCAAAGCGTCGCGTACCAGTCGTTGTAAAAAATTTACAATGTTTGTAGTGTCAACACGCGCGAAACCGGTAGTCGTCGAAAGATTACGGCTCGCTCGAACGTTTCGCGCCGAGATGAATTGTATCGATCGTCTCGTTTCACGGTTGATCGAGAAAGGCATCGATAGGTTCGTTCCGAAGATAAATCTCCGTTTCGAAACCTTCAGGGTGGCTTGAAAGCTGTCGTATGGGCGGATACTGTTCAAATGACCGTAACACTGGGTAGCCTCTTCGCCGTGCTCATCTTGGGTATCGTATCCGTGGGCGGTGTAACCGAAATTTGGAAGAAAGCAGAGGAGGGGAGCAGAATTGTGTTCTGGAAGTACGTTCATGTATCCAATATTTACGATTCGAACATAAATTGTGACTCGATTTGTTCTGTGCTTGGGTGGTATTTGCTTTATCTTAACAACCCTTTGGACCAAAGGTCCCAAGGATTTTTCCTTAGATTTCTGGGGACTCTCCAACTGTTTGCTTTAGGAAACGAAAGAAAAGAGCAGATACCTCCCAAGAATACAACGCGTGTTATCCATTCTGAACACTATTCTGAATTCGTTCCTGTTTACAGCATGGATCCCAGCCTGGACATTAGAAACTCGTTTTGGGGTATGTCGGTGGGAATGACGGTAACATGGATATCAGGATTGGGTATAAACCAGGTCTCTATGCAAAGATTTTTGGCGGTGCCCAATATCAGGGAGGCTCACAAGTGAGTATCCGCGTGTCTTTCGAAAAGGTAACGTGAAAACCGTAACGAGAATTGAATTCCACAGGACGATCGGGTTCATGGCGGTGTGTCTGATCATCATAAAGTGGATATCGGTCTTCACCGGGCTCATAATGTTTGCCAGGTACCATAAGTGCGACCCCATAAGTACGCACGTACGTTGTCTCTTTTCTCCCCGTTCGGCGTCACGCGTCACACCGTGTCGCTTGTTCCCGCAAAATAGTAACGGGCCAATTGGTTTCCAGGTAATCTCGAGGAGCGACCAATTACTTCCGTATTACGTGCTGGACGTTGCCGCGAATATTCCAGGACTTCCCGGCCTCTTTCTGGCCGGTCTCGTCAGCGCCGGTCTCTCGGCAATGAGCGCTGCTTTGAACACGGTCGCTGGCACAATTTACGAGGATTTCATCGATCCATGGCTGCCGGAGAACAACAATAAAGAGACCAGGGCGGCGAACATCATGAAAGTAAAAACGATAAAAAAATACGCCAGCTGTTTGCTCGAGTCTTAGTTACGACGTTCGTTCGCTACGAGTTCGAAGAGATGGGCAAGATTCTGATCTACGCAAATATTTGGACGATACGAGATAAGAACGAAAGATAAATTTCGTCGAGTAAAAATTAGAGTTTGATTTATAGATCGAATCTCCGATATTTCATTGGAATAGAATCTTGCTTGTTTCTGGTTAAAAATGAATTACGCGCTTAGAAGGAACACGATTTTCAGGTTACGGTGGTCGTGGTGGGATTGATATGCATATCGTTGGTTTTCGTCGTGGATCGATTAGGCGATATCTTTCAAGTCTCTGTAACTCTCCATGGGATCACGCATGGAGCGATGCTGGGCATCTTTTCCCTGGGTATGTTGGTACCTTGGGCAACCTCGAAAGGTGTGATAGCTGGCGGATTGGCTTCCATGGTGCTGATGACTTGCATCATCGGTGGCGCTCAAGTTAACGTGGCTCAGAAACGATTGATTTATCCGCCGCTTCCGATCTCGAACGATCAGTGTTCGAACGTATACGACCAGTTTAATCAAACGATGAGCAATTACACTATTTCCAGTTCACCGACCGACGAAGACAAGCCTTTCGTTCTCTTTACTCTATCGTTCATGTACTATACTCTCACCGGTTTTTTGATAGCAATGGTGGTGGGTACGCTGACCAGTTTCCTATTCGGCGCTCACGACTTGAAGGACGTCAACAGAGATCACTTTCCACCGATCATTCAGAGGTAAGAGTTTATTCGCGATTCCCTGGAAACAAGGGACGAGCTGCGACGTTACGTTCTTCATCACTAGGAAATACGCGTATGGTTTTAGATTTTTACCACCGAAAGAGTATAGCGAGGTACCGATGTATTCGATCCCAACGAAGCTGGTGACGGAAAAAGAGAAGACGAGTACGTGACACGGACGCGGCGCACATGACTTCCTCCTTTACCCCTGACATTGTGTTCAATTGTACTGTTAAGAACGAATCGAGGGACGATTAACTTGTACGTTAGAAGTAAACGATGTTTGTAAAACATATCGGCGAAGAACTGTCCGGAACAAACGAATTCTTGAACGATGAGGTGAGACCGGGTGCATCGAACGACGCGACGCCGACGGTCCCGTTCGTCGCGAGAAAGCAACACGCATAACTGGTCCGTCTCGGGTTGAAAGCACCCATTAGTTCCTCGATGAGGGTGTCAAGTTGACTAGATTATATATCTGTCCCACGCATCTCGATACAAACAACACTCCCAAAACATCTGGAGGAACGATGCCTATCGGATTAGGACGAATGTAAATCCGAGGGGTGTTTTCTGTCGAGTCATTCGTCGAGACGGTCCTGAAAATCCGCGAAAGATCGATCGTAAAGTACGCGTTATAGTGCTTGCACGTGTCCGCGAACGCTGCTCTATTCATCCGAGTGTAAAAGACGCGATTTCAATTGAAACGAAGCGCGCAACGCCCTGAAACGTTACAACTCATTTCCACGATACTTTTTTTCCCGTGTTGAAAGTCCGTTCGACGTGGCATAAAGTGGTTTCGATTCGTCTGAAGAATGTTTACCGTTCCACGAATGGCGGCCAGTAACCCGCGATAGAATTCGAAAAGTAGCGCGCGATTTATCGTCAAAATAGTTTACGGTTCCCGATCACAATAGGGAAGACATTACGGGCGTTGAGAAAAATCGATAACAGAGATATATATCGCGACGACACAAAGGACGCGTTCGCGAGAATGCTTTTCCATCGACCGTGCTCGACCGATCGAAATGTGTGCAGCGAAT